ATGGGGCTTTCAAGAGGACTTCCATTCACTGCGGGTCTATAATTGCTGGGAGATTTTACTATATCCTGTAGAGTTGCTTCTTCTGATGATTAACTTCCTTCTGGCTTCATTTACCTCAGAAGCAGGCCACTTTTGCCCAAGAGGCCACATAACCTAGATCTGAAGGCAGCGAACAAATCCCAGCAAGGAAACTTGGCAGAGTTCACGATCCCAGTAAAACAGGTGAATTGGAAAAGCAAGTGGGGAGAAAAAGGGGGATGCTTCATTACTTGCAATGGTACAGATGGGCCTGGCGGGCTGCAGTCAGCTATGCTAAATTGTGTTCAACAACCTTCCCCAAGCTCCGAGAAAGAACAGGGAGCTGAAAACCAGCTCATCTCCCATGAACCACTCCCCGGTAAGTGCAAGATCGTCACTTGAAGGGTTTTTTGCCTAGCAGGCAGTCTTTCCTTGGGTTTTACCTCAAGGACACAGATTCTTAATATAGCTCAACTGTATCTCTTGCTTTATTCAAATTTCCACTTAAAATGGCCACAAGTTTGTTGCTAGCCAGCATCTCTATGAAGAGACAGAACAATGTCACCAGAAAGAAGTAGGTTTTTAGTGTAGATCTCAGGCAATATTATGTGACCATAATGATCCCTGTGGCTTTATATACGTCCCTTCCCAAACAGGCCCCTGCACCAAGGAACTCTTAACCCACATCAAACATAGCACAAAACCATCCTTTTGGGTAGGACCAGGGAACCGAGAGGGAATTTAAAGAACAGCATTTCCCACTGTTGGTAAGTGGATGCTCTCACTAGGATTTTTAACTGCCATCTCACCTAGATCTGCAGGGCTACCTGACAAAGTGGGTAAAGCATTGGCACATTATCCACGCTCACATGCAGAGGGTCCATCTCCACCAAGCCCCCAGCTCTGCTCGAGTGTGAGTACACCCTCTGCACATGCAGTCTTGGGCATCACCCAAGTGCCCTCCCCTTAGGCATGTGCCACTGGTTAGCAGATATACCAGGGACCACAAGACCACAAGAATCAAGTCACTTTGGAACGGGGTTGAAAGGGGAGGATGGTGGAGGTTCACCTCTACTCCTAGTGCAAGCCCAGTTTCTGCTAACCTAGGGCCCTGCAGCAAGGGAACTTTTGCTGGCGTGGGAATGCGTCCACTGGCACGTGGCTGAACCCCACCCAGCTCCTTTCACAGCAGGCCCTGGGGAGGCGAGGACAGCTCTGCTAAAGTGCGTACGTGATCGTTAACATCCTGCCATACCCACTTCTGAATCCTTTGCTAAACATCGCTACAAATGACAATCACTCCTTAATGAGCAGAATGCGCCTGGTTCTGTGCCTGACGGCCTGCCAAGTGTGCCTGGTATCATCTGTGGTGTCTACGAGGGAGACTGGGGAGTGTCTCCTCCTTTTCCCCGCATTAAAGAGCCTTTCTGGTCAGCCTGAACATCCCGCTGTTTATTCAGACAAGCAGGTTCTTGGCACAGCGGAAACGCCGTTTGCTGCACGCGAGTTCTTGCTGTAGCTCCCTGGGCCCCCTGCCTCCCTGTCCAACCCCTCTTCCTCCCTGTCCTGGGATCATCCTGCCCTTCCTTTGGGAAACAAAGCAGGGAACAGCAAGGTAAGTTTGCTTCTCAGATTCTGGTAGCAGGTGGCCATCAAACAACTGAACTTTGCATGATATCACGAAATACCCAAAACCAAAACCCAGTCCAGGGCAGCTGAGATCTGCAATTAGCAAGACAACTGGTTGGCAACTTTGCTGTCACACTGCGATCCTGTCCAGATTAAAAATGGGAGAGCAAAAAAAAAGTCTCTGGAAGCCTTATGGCCTTAGTGACAAGTTCCCAATGAGCTAGGAGGAGAGGGGAGCAGAGACAGATAAGTCAAAGGAATAGGCAAGACTTGTCATTAACTCTTGGTTGGCTTGTTAAAACAAAACTAGCAACTGCTGGAGCATGCTTCAAATAATAAAGGGTATCACCTCTATCACAAGATCCTGACTGCTCCAGAGAATAAAACATTTATGGTTACAGTTACCAAAGAAGAAATGTCTACGGTACAGCAATTGAGGGGATGTTGCTGTGATGGTCTAGGAGGGAAGAAAGAAATCTTGTGGGTGATCTTTTCTTGGATTTGTATGAGACTTAAGAAAGTTTTTGTAGGCCAAATATTACCCAGGAACCGGAGGAGACTCCAAAGAACAAAATCCACCCGTCTCTCTGCAGGAGCAAAATGGCAGAGCTGTGAATGCAACTCAACCCTCCCAGCTCCAAAATTAACATTGGCTTTCTTTGCCTCCGTATTTCACGTAGGCCACCATCTCTGTCAGCATCAGACTTTCCTACCTACCTAGCACCCATCAGAAGGGAAAATTTGAAATGGAGGGGCCTGCTGCCTGCACTGCAACATGCAATATGCTTCTGCAAACTCCTGAATGCTCCGCATGTCCCTCTCCCACGTTCATGCTGAAGCAGTATCAGGATAGCCAACATATGGTTATCAACAGAGCTTTTATAGACATAAATCCTTTACCTGACAAGGCAGAACAGAGATCATGCAAACAAACAATTAGATAGTTAAGTGGCCATTTCAGGCAGTGAACCAGAACAGCTCCCTCAAAGCAGTTACAGGTTTTATGATGGGCGAGGGTAAAAATCCTCCCCACCCAGCCTGGAAGAGATCCAGGAAAAGAAAATCATCCAGCTTTCACCAGACCAGGGGCTGGTCCTCCTCAGTCTCCCACAGAAACCTCCCCGCGCTTGCACTAAAGCAGCTCCTGGGCTAAGGTCAGACTGTTGGCATCTTTTATCACAGGGCTTTCTAGCCCAGCTCTGGACTGGGGGGCAGGGGGGGAAACCCCACCCTATTTACACTAGTCCCTGCCTACTGCAACCATCACTGTCTTACACCGTGCATAGTGAACAGGTGGAACTCACTGCCACAGGATGATTTGAGGCCAAAATCATAACTGGGCTCAAAAAAAGGGATTACACAAATATATGGAGAATAGGTTTACTGGGGGCCATTAAACTTAGAGAGAGGATTTACTAAGGGTCTGACAGGCAGATCTTTCTGCCTCATTTCCTTATACTTGTCCTCTAAAGCATCTCCAACTTGCCAAGGTCAGAAACAGGACAGAGCAAGATGAGCTTCTGCTCTGGTCCAGCCTGGCTGTTCTTAGGCATCAGGGCAGGTGTATTCCCTAGAAATTTACAAATCAGACACTTACACAGCCAACTGCACCTTTGTGCTGAATTTCAACCCAAAACCATTTTGAAAAGAGAACAAACAGAACTGTACAAGGCCGCCCAGGCATTTGGTGGAAAAACAAGCTCATTTGTTTCAAAGTCAAAGGGAAGAAAAACTCAGCTCTATTCTAGTAAAATCAGCATAGAAACATGGAGACGTGGGGGCTGGAAGGGATGTCCAGGGGTTACATTTAGTCCAACCCTGCCTGAGGCAGGATCACCTGTCCAAACCATCCCATACAAATCCATCATCTAAACTCTACATAAATCAACCCCAGCACAACACAGACCTCACACCCGAACCCACCACAGGTAAAACAGGGGAACCACAGCAGCCACCTTTGCTTCTACAAAATGTTATTAATATACGCTCAAGAGGTCCCGGGTGGAAGACCATGCCCCGCACTGCAGAGGAAGGCAACCCCCTCCCCAGTCTGCGCCAATCTGACCACGGGGTAAAACTCCTTTCCTGACACTTTAAGACTTATATTTGGGTTTGGGCTTAAAAGAATTGTGCCAACATTTGCTCCTTCTGGAAGTGTTTCTTCTTCAATAAAATAAGTACTCCTGCTTTTCTGCTTTCCAAAAAAATAAATAAATAAAGTCATCTGATGTCTGTTTCCAACTAGAAAATGGGATGGAAAAGTCATGTACATTTCAAACTTGTTCTCTCTGTGATTTACCAAGCTGTCTTGATCACAAAAGTACAAGCAGCGGAGAAAGGACTGCATCCAACAAAGAGCACAGGATGAGACTAAGGGCTGGAAGGGACCTCAGGAGGTCACATCTAGTCCAACCCCTACTCCAAGCAGGACCAGCCTCAACTGTATCATCCCAGTCAAGGCTTTGCCTACCCAGGGCTTACACACCTCCAAGGACAGAGAGTCCACCGCCTCTCCGGTGTTTCACCACCCTCCTAGTGAGAAAGTTTTTCCTAATATCCAACCTCAACTTCCCTTGCTGCAGCTTGAGCCCATTGCTCCTTGTCCTGTCATCCACCACGGAGACCAGTCCACCTCCATCCTCTTTGAACCCCCCTGCAGGGAGGTGAAGGCTGCTATTCAATCCCCCTTGGTCTTCTCTTCTGCAGACGCAATCAGCCCATTCCCCTTGGCCTCGCCTCACAACTCATGTCCCCCAGCCCCACAACCATTTTTATTGCAAATTCTCCAGTGTGTCCACATCCTTTTGGTAGCAGATGCAGGACTCCAGATGTGTCCTCCCCAGTGCCGAATAGAGGGGAAGAACTGCTTCCCTCCATGTGCTGCCACCGCTCCTACCCATGTACCGGGGGACTCAAAACAGGACAGGGAGAGCACCCCCACCCCGCTGCAACACTGCTCCACCATGGGAATGGGGCTAGTAAAGGCTGGATTGTCCTATGGAGCAAGATGCAAAGTGCATGGGAAACAAGGTTGCACCCATTTCCCAGACCCGGGGAGGCAAGTAGAGGCGGATTCCCCAGGGCTCCTCCAGACACCCACCCCTAGGGCTTGGAGAGATGCCCGCTGCCCGCACGCGCCCACCCCTAGGGGGGCGCAGCACCAATCCCCAGCCGCCTCCAGAGCAACCGCAATGATTGACACTGCGGGGAGCCAATGAGCGCGGGCGAACCCCACCAATCGGGACTGACAGAGCGGGGGGGCTCCCCACAGTGGGGGTGACACCACGTCCCCCCAGGGCGGAGGTGGGGGGCTGTCCCGGGTAGCTCCCTCTCCTCCCCCCCGGCCGCGCTACCTGCTCGAAGCGGGGCTTCCCCAGCTGGAAGGGAGGGTAGTCCGACAGCTCCGCCATCCCCCTCGCGCCGCGAGCGCCACTTTAAACGGCCTCCCCCGCCGCCCGGTCCGACCCCGCCCCGCCCGTTCCCGTGCGACGTTCCTATTGGCCGCGGCCAACCGCAGCCGCGGCGGGGCATGCTGGGGGATGGAGTCCTAGCGCCGCCGACCAGCGAGGCATCTTGGGATGTGTAGTTCCCCCAGCGGTGGCGGTGGCGGGGCGAGGGAAGGAGGAGGGGAAAATGGAACCTGGGGGAAAGGGATGCTGGGAAATCAAGTCCCGGGGCGGGAGGCGCCTATGGGGCAGTGATGCATTGTGGGACATGTAGGCAGGGAGGCGAGGGCATTGTGGGGGATGTAGTTTCTCCCCTCAGGCTGAGGAGGTGGCTAGGGCAGTGCTTCCCAAACTTGTCCTCAGCGTGGCCCCATTTATGTTCCCATTTCCTCAACATGACCCCAATTGTGTCCCCATTTCCTCAACATGGCCTCATTTACATTCCCATTTCTTCAGTATGACCCCATTTATAGCCCCATTTCCTCAGCATGACCAGATTTATGGCTCAGTTCCCTCAGTATGGCTCCATTTATGACCCCATTTCCTCCACATGACCCCATTTGTGGCCCTGTTTCCTCAACATGACCCCATTTCCTCAGTATGACCCCACTTATGGCCCCATTTCCTCAACATGACCCCATTTCCTCAGCAGAGCACTGCACTTCCAACCCACAGTTTCCCACCCCGTGACTCCACCTGCTGATGCTGCGACCCCCATTTGGGTGGCAACCCCCATTTTGGGAACCACAGGGCGCGGGGTTCGGAGGGCCATGCCCCCGGCGGCTCAGGGAAGCAAAACGGAAAACCTTCCTGCCTGCATGGCAAATCTGCTGCTTTTTCTACCCTGAGGCCACAGTGCCTCAGTGACACACTACAGCGCTGTAGCGTCCATTGGCAGAAACCGTGACGCCAACGTCACATTATAGCGTGCTGCCTCGTTATAGCGCGTTGCTATATGAACACCTATCTGAATTTCCTTGGTTTGCTTTGAGCCATTGCACCACGTCCATGTTTAAGAACGAACTGAGATAACACCAAGGATCCTGGGGAAGCGAGGCAAACCAAGGTGTTCCCAAGGCTCTTTTTAACCTAGAGAAGGAAATGTATCCATTCAGAAATGACTAATGAGGACATAAATCAGCTGTCCCGAGAGCAGTAACAGGCCAGGAATGACCTTGGAGAGGAAGATCCAGTAGAGAGGGATCTTTCTTTGCTATCCGGCTGCTAGGATAGCAAAGAAAAATTAGGAGCAGCAGAGTTGAGTACTAAGAAAATCGAACGGGTCAGAAAATGGGCTTTTCTGTGATAAAAAAAAAAAAAAATTTAAAAAATGGCATAGTTTTTGTCCATTTCCTCCTATTTTGAAAAAGGAGAGGAGTGGAAATCAGTTGCTAAAAGCTGCAATGATGCCTCCTGGGACTTATAGTTCAGGTGCTATATGATTTCTGGGCAGGGATTATATTTATATTTCCCATGATGAACTGAGGTCTCATTTCACGGTGGTGGGAAAGCCGCGATGTGAAGGAGCCCGTGGCCGAGGTCGAGTCAGGGAAGACCCAGTTGGGGAGTGGAGACAGGTGGGGGGGAGCCACATTACAGCTCCTGTATGTCCCTGTGGAAGGGGAGATGAATAGAAACATTTCCAATTTCAGCCATGTATTTCAGGATTCAAGAGGTTTTCACATTTTTGGTTTTAGTCCAAAAAAAAAAAAAAAAGTTACCAGGAAACCCCCAAGAATTTCACAAAAAAGCACCTAGTGACTTTTGCAGAATTGGGCGTCTCATGTTAAAATCATTCACTGTCCAGACAGTGCAAAAGGCATCCATCGATCGACAGGGTCCCAGCAGTCATATCTCTTTGGAAGAAGTATTGCAATTTTTTGTACAGCAGGCAAGGCTCAAATATTACAGCTCAAATATAAATTTGCATTTTAATGCAAAGTTTTAAAGGCTTGGTCTAACAACTTGTTTGCTGCGCGTGCGAGCACGAGAGAGACTTCGGGAGCAGAAGCAAGCTGGATTCTCACAAGCCTATGACAATGAGGCAAGGTCTGACAAAATTTGGCAACAGAACATCAATTCCACATAGCACTTAGACACCAACTCTTCTTTACCATTATTTCTCAAGTAAAAAGGGAGGTGAATGATCATTACCTTATTTTACAGCTGGGGACATGAAAGATGGAGAGAGCAAAAGCCCCTGGCTTAAGAATTATGACATCACTTCTGATTGAAAGCCAAGTAATTGGCAGAGAAAGGGATTTTTCAAGTGAATTATTTACAAATCTAATCTTTTTTTACACTGGTTTAACTACAAAACCTATGAAGCACTTGGGCGGCGGGGGGGAGGATATATATCATAACTCTACTAGTTCTCCTGGCCTTCATAGGCTTTCAGGATAGAAAAAGAACAAGTGTGTAACACAAGCAAAACGAGGATTAAAAACACAAGCAAACTCTTCAAACCATCATGAAGAAGCACAAGAGGAAACAGCCCAAACCTTTTCCCACTCAGCATTTTTAATGGTCACTGTTAAGTAGATTTAGAAGAGCATCCTACTTTATAATGCACTTTGGAGCACGATACTGTGTGTGATTTGGAAGACAGTGTGGGTTACACAGATGCACCTCCACAGAGAAGTTTTTTTTATCCTGCAGTCAAGTGATTCTGTGAGAGTCTCAGCTTCCAAAAATGAGCATGTTCCTAGGCCTTATGGTTGCAAATACAGTCTTGAAAAATGTCAGACCAAAACACTTAAAGCCCAGAAAGCAAATGAAAGAACTCTGCATTGTCTGCTTAAATCTCCTAGTTTTTAAAAG